CTTGTTCAGTGCCTCTTTTGAATCGTACTTTAAACCTCTTTGAACACAAAAATGTCATTAGCCATTCGCTCGCTCTCCACAATTTCGTTCTGTTATCGCATTTGCTTTTGGCTTGAGATGCTGCCTGACGCAGCTATTGTTAAATTTTTTAATACGAAACAAGAAAACCCCAAAAGAGGAAATCCGCGCCCAATTTCAATCCCTTTCCCCATCTACTTGGCAAGGCTGGCCAACCGAATTTAGCTGGCTAAGCTGCGCATTACCAAGTTAATTTCATGAGAAGCTACGAACCGTGAAAGGAAAAAAGTGCCTGACTTAACCAGAGAAATGCCAACAAAACAACACACACATACAGAGGGATATTTAAGCGGATTTTTCGTGTCTGCCTAAACTACAAATACAGTTCTGTTTGCCCAGCCACGCCCCCTCCGCTGCTGTGCACTTGTGCGTGCTCATTGTGTGCCACTTGAACGATTTCCGGGGCACTTAATTTAATGAAATATTAAAAATTCTTGTCGAGCGTCGGTCGAGAAGGCAGCAAAATCTTAAGTTTCTAGTTCTTGGGATGCGCCTACGCTCCTTGGAGAGTTTCTCCACGGCTTCTCCACAATCTTATGCCCAGCATCAAGTCAACTTCTGCTTTGCCGTAAATAAAGAAAGTAATGTACAAGAAAATTTGCTAGAAATTTTGGGTTTTTTTTTTTTGTTTTTCATTTGCAACCAACTGCAACATAAGCTCGACATGAGAATCAAATTTTTCTGTTGCTGCTCGAAGTCTCTATATTAAACTGGCGTAGTTGTTGTTGTTTCGATGTGTCTGTATGAAATCGTTTTGTTGTTGTAATAAAGTGGCCAAACAAATTGCGCCCGAGGCTTTTGTTTGCTGCAAATTGTTTATGGCAAACGCAAACGCAAACGCAACGCAAAACTCGTTGCAAAATATCAATATGTGCGCACAGATTGGCTCATAATTGTTGCCAGCTCTCATACTGTGTGTCTGTGTGCGTCTATGTGGCATGCGTATGTGTGGTTGTTTGGCTGTGTGAAAATTGGTATTGTACAGTTTTAGGCGCACATTGCGATAGCATCGATAAATGGGCGAAAATTTGTGTGTGTGTGTGTGTGTGTGTGTGTAGATTGACAATTGAAGTTTGTGTAATTGGTAGATAGCCGAAAATTTTGATAACGCTTGTAATATTGATTTTGAAATGAAAGACTATAGATATTTTTGCAGCTAAAAATAGAAAAATATATAAAGGGGGGAAACGACAAGTGGGATATTGATAGAGATATATGTGGGTATTTGTTGGATATATTGTGTCTGTTGTTCCCAAAGCGGAAAGCGATAAAAACTTATTATAATATTGTTGCAGTTTATTACCCTCAGAACAATAGTTATTAGCTCAGCGTTAACCAACTCTGAAGCTAGATTAAATGAAGTTTGAATTTATATATTCGATATCGAAAGGTCTGACAGGCAAAATCGCATTAGAGGATAGGATTGAAAACAGACTATAATAGAACTAATAAAAATATTTATCTAATAATATACATCATACATAGGTGTGCAGCATTTGCCGAATCAAAAATCAACTATTTAGTTCGTTTACCTTGCCCCTTTTTCAACATCTTCACGTTGCATTCGAGTTTTAACCGTGAACCTAATCCGTTTTTGTGTGCTGTTGCAACATTTTCAACACGCGCCATGGCTGGTCTTTATTAACCATTATCCTAACCCCGCATTCAAGAGACCCCATCAAAACAATGGAATCTAACAAAATCCCGCTACAATCTCAAGCGCAACCAATTCAAAGTTTTCTTCTTTTTTTTTGGGCAAACGAAATTGAAACAAAAAGTTGAAAAGAGAACAAAATCAAAAGGGAAAAGAGAAAAGCAACAAACGAAAATCTTAATCAAAGTTTTGTAAAGTGCTGTAAACTATGTAGTTTATAAACCCTCAACTGCTGCATACAGTTTCATTTTTCTTCCTCTGCCTCTGCCTCTTTCTCTTTTTTCTCATTTGGGGGAGAGTTGCGTTTCCTGTCCATGCCCACGCTCTATCCCTCCCTCTGCTAACAAACACGTTTTCAGCTCTGTTCTCAACATGGCTCTCCATTACGTTTGTTTATACGCTTTTTCGCTCTTTGCACTTCAAAATCAACAGCAGCAGCAGAAGCGGCAACAACAACAACAACATCAGCTGCCAAAAGTCTTGAAGTGCCTGCAAGTGGCAAAGTCTTTGCCCAACAACAGAAATAGCAAAAATAACAAATAAATAAAAAAAAAAGAATCCCAGAAAAAAATACAAAAACTTGCCTCAAATTTTGCACAAATTTGCCAGCTAAAAAGTCCAACATGCATGGGTCGAGGGGGAGAGGGGGGCCAAGCAGACAAACAAAAATACCAAATAGTTGCTGCCTTCATCTGTGTGTGCGTGTGTGTGAATTTGTTATGCCTGCTTTGTTATTATTGGCCTGGTCAAGAGCTTTAGCTTTAGCCCTTAGCCATAACATGTTGCATACAATATTTTGCTTACTGTTTGCAGTTTGTCGAACCAATGCTCATGTGCGTCTGTTCTCTGTCCGAGGAGGGGGAGGGAAGAGCGAACAATTAAAACAATTTCTTCAATTTCTTGGCAAATATGCAAAACTTTTTTGAAGTTAGAGTTGCCTTTTAGCTTTTGCCTTCACATATGCCTGTATTTTATTTGTATTTTTCTTTATTTTTTGTCAGTTTTAATACTCTGGTTTTTAGTGGGATAAAGGTAGATTATTGACTTAGGTAATATATATTTTTATAATTTTTAAGGGCAATGAAGCTCATAGTATCAGAGGTTTACTATTTATTAATGTTTGGGTATTTGTCATTTCTCATTTCTATGTGTAAAAATATGTTGATATAAACATAGAAATTTAATATAAAGTTAATAATTTATATTTAATGAAAATGTAGAAGTCAAAGTCTATAAATTGATATTTATTTTTCATTCATTTAAGTCAAATTAATAAAATTATTCAAGGCTAAAAACCCAAAGCTCTTCAGGTATTACATATGCTTCGCAAGTCACAGCTTCAATCCAGTCATTATTTGAATCAGTATTTCAATACATCATTGTGAGTAAAAACATTTGAGAATTCTACCTTGAGCTCTTAGATAATATATAGAGCAAGGTATAATAAATCCCACACTCACTGCATATTCATGCAGTCCCTGTTTCAACCAGAGTATCTAGCAGTCGATTCTGTTTTTGCTCAGCAACCTTATTACCTGTGTATTGTTTATGCCACACACACACACACATTCACACACAGACTGAAAAGTTGCCAAGACTTTGCTCTTCACATTTCAAGCTGTTAAATTAAAAATGTTGCCAGCTGCCTCGTCCCAGCCCCCTTGGACAATTGATTGCAACACCTAAGGTGGAGTGCATAAGGTGGGCGTGACAATTGAGCGACGTGGGCTGGTTTCGGGGAGATTCTGTTGCTACTCTTGCAGCACATGGGTAAAAACTTTTGAAATTAAATCTGTAAAATCTCACAAAAGTTTGGCAGTGCGCGTATGTGTGTGTGTCTGTGTGTCTCTCTGTTTGTATGGTAGTAGCAGTTCAGTTCAGCTCAGTTCTTTGAAGAAGTTTTCGTATAATTTTATATGGCATAGAAATAATTTTAACTTGACTGAAAATGCAAAGTTTTTGCCCTCTGTCGCTAGCCATTTCTCTCGCTCTCTCATTCTCCCTCTATCTCTCTCGCTAGCTCAAACTGTTTTTGGTCTGAATCTAACTCGATAGTCGCCATGACGAACTGACATCATATTTTGTTATTAGCCAAATTAGTTATCAAATGCACTGGACGCTCATTGTCAACATGCAACAACCACACACACATACACGTGCGCACTCTTACAGTTGCAAAACTCATTAATAACAACCAGCAGGGCGAGACAGAGAAAGAGAGAGAGAAGGGGGCTGGGAAAGAGAAGAATTCGCGCAACTGAAAACCGCAAAATTGCATTGCATGACGGCGGGCGACGTAAAACAACTAAATAACAAACAACAGGCGTCAAATTACACAAAACACAAACCAGACTTTGCACACACCCACACACACACAGGCGCAGCCACAGCCTCACACACATGCCACACATGGCGTATGAACAACAAATTAAATTTAGATTTATATAGAAAATGCAACTCACACACAGACATATAACTAATTGTAAATATTATTGTGTTTTGTGTTAAATATAATCAAATGTTGCCCTCGCGGCGTGTTATGCTCAATGATTAATTACGTCTGGCAGCGGAGAGAGGTTGAATGAACAACTACTGCAGGGCAAAACAAAATATGATAATAATAATAATAATAATATGATTAACTACTTAGCTGACATATAAAGCGGATTGAAAGCTGTAAAGGCAGAGAAAAATTTTCAGGGATTCAGAGAATGGAGCTGAATGAGTGCCTTTTACTTGAATATTATAACTAAATATAAATAGTTTACAAACAAATTGAATTAGAGGGCAATAGATATAAGTGAGGAACTTGTTCATCTCATAATCCCCTCCAAAGGATTTGCAACATTAACTTTTACAGCAGCTTAATATATAGATCCAACAGGCTGGCATTTTGAGCGACATAAACGTTTTATTGGCAACCGCTAGCTAAATCTGGCTAATGCACACTCAAACCCACACGCACACACACACACATCTCACTCGACGCACAAAATTTGAAAGCAGCGCGATTTTAATTTCGTTATATAATTTTTGGTTATCCAAAATGTAATTTACTTTGGGCTGCAGCAGTAGCACGCAACTGATACAGATGTGTGTCTGTCTATAAGTGCATGGATACCCAACTATATATATGTATAGGTATATATATATATTTATATGTATGTGTGTCTTTTTTTTATTGCAGGGTCTGATCCAAATCCATTGGCATCGGCGTATATGTCAACAGCCGCTGGTTTACCGCAATTTGGAAACACCACCGCACTGTCCACCTCACCGTTAGCCAGCGTTGCGCTGAGCGCCGCTGCGGCCGCTGCTGCGGGCAAGCAGATTGAAGGTGAGTAATTGGGGACTGGGAGAAAGGGAGGGGTAAGGTGTCGGGTTAGGGGTATCGGTAGAAGGGCGGGAGGGGGAGGGTGGCTATTGGGGAATATGAATTGGGTTCATTGGGGAGTTTGGTTTGAAGCTCTCGCTGCACACAAATAGAAATGTCTAAACGCCAGGCATTTTGATAAATGCTCTAAAATGTCCGACTGCGGTTCTGTCAGTCAGTCGGCGAGACAGAGGGACGGACAGTCAGTCGCTCGCTCTGGCATTACATAAAACTAAATGTTGCCGTTTTTGCTGGCCATCACTGCCGTTGATGCTACTATTCCTGCTGCTGCTGCTGCTGCTGGTGTTGCAACATCAAATGCATTAACCCGCTCATCGCTGTCCGCGTCATTCGCATTCGCATCCATTTTGCGGTTTTGCTCGCTGCCTTTGTGCCTGTCATGCAGCCCGTTTGGTTGTCAATCTACTTAGTTATTTGCTGCTGGATTAATCTTTCATTAGTCTGTATGTGGGTGGATATGGATGTGGATAGATGTGTGTGAACTACTGGGTGTACTCTCTGTGTTGTGGTGAGTGAAGAGGCAGATGTTATGCAACTTGTGTTTCTCCAAATGCAAAGCACACACGAAATGTAGATTTTTACGTACTTTGGCAATAAATTTTTATGGGAAAGTTATTGAAAAAAGTTATATACATAGATTGGTAATGATGAGGAATAGAGGTCTTGTAAAAGAAAACAGATAAAGAATAATATATTAAACAAAGTTATTAGAGTTAAAGAATTGATATTTGATATTCTTACCAGCTGAGTGGTAAAAATAAAATTAATAAATAAATATTATAATATATTAATACGCCCTAACAAATGCTGTATCAGAATAGATATAAATATCCTGTATTCATGCTGTAAACACATCAAACTGTAATCCTTTGTCAATTTTCCATACGTATTGAATAGATTTGCTTAATTTTATGCAAAAGCTCTCGTTGTCTTTGTCTCACAGTCAAAATGAAAAAATTCCTCTACAATTGAACCAGAGATTTGCTATTTTGGTCATCTCATCCAAGATGAATATTGAGACCAAGCAAAGCTGTCTGGATAGGCTGCTTGCATATGCACGAGCAAATAACTTTCAATTGCACGAAATCCAAAAATGAACTTTACATCGAAAGCAACTAGAACAAAAGGAGTGAGAGAGAGAGAGAGAGAGAAAAAAAGCCCTATATAACACAACGTCGTCTTCTTTTCCTCTTGCCTGTGCTCCTTATTTTTTCAATTCACATTTTCGATTGGCAAAAGCAGATTTAAGGCTGTTTGCTGATACAAATCCTTATTCGCTTTTCAACTCCAAAGTGTTGGAGAAGATAGGAAAAATCAATAGGATCAATCAACTTAGACATTTTCCAACTTTCCACACATACACACACAGACACACACACACGCTCATGCAGTAATGCGAATTTATATGAACGGCATTTTGCTGCAGCTTAAATTTTTATCAGCTTTTGACACAGTGTAAATATTACACACTTGACACACAATTCCATTAGTCAGACGTGAATGTCGATATCAGAAAATATTGCAATGTGTTCGACACCACCCTCTAAGCACACGAAAACACACATACACACATACACTCTCTCTGACACCCACACACAGATCAACTGCAGCGCCAACAGCGAATTGCGCTTTGGCACACATAACATTAAAGTTGCATGTGATATGCGGAAAAGGGGGGAGCTGTGTGTGTGTGAATAGAGTAGGGGCACTCCCTGCTAAGCAGATAGCAAAAACGAAGACGAAGACGATGACGACGCTGATGCTGATGC